TGTTGTACATAGGGTCGCTATGAGTCACAAGCGACTCGACGGCACATAACAACAACAACATGCATCAGTTTATCATGAGTACAGCCAATTCAAAACCAATAATGTTCCCACATTTTATATACACATGTGGCCTTGAATAATTTTAAAGCAAGTTAAAATTTAATCAGAGCACAGGAGCAACAGTAGCTTCAGCTGAGATCCAGAGACCAACACGGGACAGAGCTGATTTGAGACTGCTTCTCTACAGAGCCAGAGCCAGCGGTGTTCACCCAAGCTTGCTGGATGACCAAGTGAGAACACGTAACTGGCAGGACTAAGGGAGCTTTGTAACACCGACCTGAGCCATCAGGCTGAAGGTCAAAAGGCCTGTGACCATGCTTGAAGAGCTTTCCAGACCAAGGGATTGTGCCCTGCTGCCAACCTGGATGATAGCTTATTAACTTCCCTAATAAAACTCATAACTAGGAGTTGAAAACTAATCAGCGGTCCCTTTCATATGTTTCTAAAAATAGTAATTATACATAATAACCTAAGAGGTCTGGAAAGAGTCCAGTGTCACTGTGGGTAAAGCATTTGTTTGCTAAAAAGGTCAGTGGTTCGAACCCACCAACTGTTCTAAGGAGAAAGATGAAGCAGTCTGGTTCTATTAAGAATTATAACCCTTTGGGGAGGCTTTTCTCCCAAATCTAAATCAACTCAACAGCAGCGGGTAGATATAATAACCTGATCCTGCAATTTTGTTTTGTGCCATTTACATTCAAACGAGTTAAACAAACTAGTATGGTCAATATATGTTAGAATGGTGAAACTTTGCCAGCGCCAGTAGGAAGCTATTTAATCACCAGCACTGGGGAAAGATTATTAAAATGAGGAGATGAAAATGATAAAGGACCATTATTTATGGTGATGGCAGAAATTCAGGCTTTACTATCTTTTCTCATGTGTGTGACAATCTGAAGCAAGATTCAGAATGACTCATTGATTTGGACTGCCTTTGCCTTCTTTGTCTTGCTCCTATGACAATGAAGAGAGAGGGAGAGAGAAAGACAGGGAGGTGAGCTGACAGAAATTTGGTTGGAGATGTGCTTTCACTCTTGTCTGTTACTAATCTCTATCAGGATGTTCTCATTAAAAACACAGTAATTGTTGTTGTTGTTGTTATTGTGTTGTTATATGCATCAAGTTACCTGTAACTCATAGCTACCCTATGCACAACAATCCTAAATCCTGCTATATCCTGTGCCAATCTTATTGTCTCCGACATACCTACCTCCATTAGCCCAGAATCAATCCATTTCATTGAGGTTCTTCCTCCCCAGTGCTGTCCCTCCATCCTCCCAAGCATGATATCACTCACCAAGGACTGGTACCACCTGCAACATGTCCAAAGTATGTTAGACGGAGCTTCAAAATCCTTGCCTCCAAAGGACAGCCTGGCTTCACCCTCTCCAGGATGAACTTGTTTGTTCTCCTACCAGTCCATGGTATATTTAATACTCTTCTCCAGCACCACAACTCAAAGGCATCAATTCTCCTTCTTTCATCCCTAGTCATTGTCCAGCTTTCTGAAGCATAGCATGTAGTTGCAAAGACCATGGCCTGTATCAGATACAACTTAGTCTCCTGACTGACATTATTCCTCTTCAGTACTTTGGAGAGGTCTCTGACAGCAGACTTTCCCAATGCAATTCATCTTTTAATTTCCTGGCTGCTGGTACCAAGAGTGTTGATTGTGGAACCAAGCAAACTAAAACTGTTAACAATCTCAATCACTTCACCATCTATCATGATGCTGCCAGTTGGCCCAGTGGTGAGAATCTTTGTTTTCTTGATGTTGAGCTTCAGTCCATATTGAAGGCTGCAGTCCTTGACCTTCTGCAAGAAGTGCTTCAGGTCCTCCTCAGTTTCAGTAAGCAGAGTTGTGTCATCTGTTTAACGTACATTGTTGATGAGTCTGCCTCCAATCCTGATGCCACATTTTTCCTCATAGAGCCCAGCCTCCCAGATAATCTGTTCAGCATATAGATTGAAATGATACGGAGGTAGGACACGTCTTTGGTGCACACCCTTCCCAGTTCTGAACCATGCAGTGTTTCCTTGCTCTGTTCTGACGACAGTGAGATCTGAAAAAGCCAAAAGCTATATAGGGCAGGAACCTGTCAGAGAAATAAAATTAAAAAATTGTCCAGTATAAAAGTGATAAGACTGCACCCAGTCAAAGGCTATAGTGTTCTAACTGTACCTTGCAAGGAAAACTTGTGAGACCCAGAAAACAAGGCAATTAACAATAAGTTCAGATTCTTCTGGGTTTCACCAGATCGTTTTCTTTTGTTTCACTCAAAAAGGTCAGTAAAATACAGTTATTTTGGTTTTGTCTTGGTTAGCATTGTCCCTGTGTTGTACCTCTATGATGGTCTCCCGACTAGCTGATCTCTTTTGTCTTCTAGGGATTTCCCACACATTTTGAAATGAAGGAGCTAAATAATGCTAAGATATGAGTGTTGTTGTAAGAAGTACGTTTATTGGGGGGGGTGGGGGGGGCGCTGGCATGGGACTTGAGAATCTCCGTCAATGTTGATTTATACTGCCAATGGCAATTGTTTACACATCAAATGTATTAAATATTCATTGATTTATTAGATTTAACTTGATTAGCATGGCTTGGGGCAATTGCATTTCTCTGTATATTTCTACAGCAATGGATTACAAATCATGACAGCCCCTTTATTTAATGATTTACTAATGTCCTTGGTAGGGAGTTCTGGTGGCCCAGTGGTAAGAAACTGCATTAAAATTCCAAAGATACACACGATTTGAATCCACCAGCTGCTTCATGAGAGAAGGATGGACAGCCTCCTCCTGTGTGACTGACTGCCTCTTATAACCCACTGGAGGGTCACCTGTGTGTCTGTTTCACAACAATAATGATAATGCCCTTGGTAGTGGTGATAGTTGCCGGTGAGTCACCACTGACTCCTGGTAAACCCATGCATAAAACAGTGTGACCCATGTGACTCATGGAGTTTTCATTGGCTGCTTTTTCAAAAGTAAAACTCTAGGCCTTTCTTCTCAGAATATTAATTAGAAGCAAGAATGACGAGACCTTCTCTCACATTCTTCACATATGTTATCAGCAGTGACCAGCCTCTGGAGAAGGACATTATGCTTGGTAAAGTCGAGGGTCAGTTCAAAAGGAAAAGGCTGTCAGCAAGATTGATTGATACAGTGACTACAATAGTGGGCTCCAGCATACTTGCATTGTAAGGCTGGCACGGGACCAGGCGGTGTGTATAAGGGGGTCAGTGTGAGGCCGAATCAAGTCAACACTGGTTAACAACACCACAATGAAAAATGTATTCTCATATACCTATTGTATAGGGGCCATTTTTCAGTAATCACTATATCCGCTCCGGCCCTAATCCTGATAAATGTGCAGAGTAGACATTCCTATCCAAATGCAGCAAGAGCATGGGGAGGAAAAGACATATTAAATAAAAAAAATAAAAAAATGTTTTGTTAGAAATCTCTAAGCTCTGCAAATATAAGGCCATTCATCTAAAAAAAGAAAAAATCATGCTTACAAAGGTCCTGCCCCTCCAGATTTGAAACCATGGCTTCAGTGACAGAAAACAAGGTGGTGAGGAGGTGAAGAAAAAGATATTAAAATGTATTCTTGCTTGGCAAAGATTTTAAAGTCCAGTGAGGAAGGACTCGTGGCTTAAGCTTCTAAATGTTGGTGAGGTAGTAGCTTAAGGTTTTAGATTAAATAGCCTCCTGATGGGGTCTATAGCATACCAGGTGACACTTTACAATGGAGATGTGCTTGAGTGGATGAGCTTCAAGGTAAGGTAGGCACAAGGGTCATGGAACGTGAAAACAAGATTTGATAAGCATAATGACCCTTTTGAATGTGTTTCTGGTGGCCTTGAGTCCTCTCTTCATCCATCCTCTGCCTATACGCACCATTTACCACTTCCCAAACTCCGCCTTCCTCCTCATCTCTTTCCTCCCATATTTTCATCTCTCAAAGCCCTAGACCACCAGACAACTGGAGAAGAGCAGGTGGTAAGGAATATGACAAGGACTGGTTAGAGGAACTACAGGACAGTCTTCTTCCTCTCAGCTTTAGCCCCAGATGCGTGTATACAATTTGTTACTTAGACCAAAAGAATTATATTGCTTGATAATAGTCTTTTTGATTGAATAATTGCTTATGATCACCTTTCTTGTAGGTATCTCTAAAGAAGAACCAAAAATATTGAGACCCCCAAGACGACCCCGGAAACCCAAAACATTAAATAACCCTGAAGACTCCACATACTATTACCTACTACATGTAAGTGGCTCACTCTTCCTGTGGATAGGAGCCATGATGTTTGCTCAATGCCAGTGTGGAAATGGTCCCCACTAGTCTGTCACAGCTAAGTGCCTTGGCTCCTATCCTGGTTGACTAACTTGGTACTTGGCTGTGCTCTGGTCCTTCCTTGTCATGGTCCTAGCCTCTCCTCTGATCTTGTACTTTCCTCTGTTTCTCCCCAGAAAACAGTTTTACCACTCCATTAATCTGAACCAATATGCAAATATAACCCAGAAGGATAAAATCACTAAAGCAGGAGACCCCCAGAAAGGGATCCTAAAGTATATGGCTGAGTTATGGCAAATGTAGAAAGAAAAGAAGGAGAGGAGTAGACAGTAAATGTTATTGAGCACCTCTGATCTTCTAGGTCTAGTTAAAGGCATGCTCACATGCATCATAATAGCTAATCCTAGAACTAGGTCTTAAGATGTCCTGACCTCGCACATGAGGAGTCTGCGATATAGATACAGTGCTTTAAGCAGTCAGAGTCATTAACTGTAGAAAGTTTCTTAACCCCACAACCCCCTGGTTATCCACAGTATGCAATATGATTGCTCATACTAGTTTATACTAAACCCACATTTCCTCCCAAATTCTGTTCTCTGAGAATGCCACCATCCTCTCAGTTACCTATATCAAGCATTGGGACTCATCCTGGATTTTGTCCAGTCTCTTATACTCAAAATCTAATCCATCACTAACTCATGCCTTCGACTTGCAGAAGCTCTTTCCAATTTATCTCCCTATTCTAATCTGATAGTAGTAGTAGCAATAGCTGTTGTTGTTATGTGCCATCAAGTTGACTGCAACTGATAGTGACTTTATAAGGAATAGATCTGCGCTTCGCTCTATCCTGTGCCATTCTCACTATTTCTGGTATACTTGGGCCTATTGTTGCATCACTGTGTCAGTCTATCTTGTTGAGAGTCCTCTGCTTCTGCACTGACCCTTCACCTTTCCAAGCAGAATGCTCTTCTCCAACGACCCCTCCTAACAACATGTCCAAAGTATATGAGATGCAGTTTGCCTCCAAGGACCACCCTGGTCACACTTTCTCCAAAGAGACTTGTTTGTTCTTTTAGCAGCCCATGGAATATTCCAGCACCAAAATCCAAAGGCATCAATTCTTCCCTGTCATCCTTAGTCATTGTCCAACTTTCAGATGCATAAAAAGTAATTGAAAACACCATGACTTAGATTAGGCACACTTTAATTTTTAAGCTGACATTATTGCTCTTCAGCACTTTAGAGAGGACCCTGAGAGCATACTTTCCCAATGTGGTATGTCTTTTGATGTCTTTTTTTTTTTATTATTTTAATGGAAGTTTACAGCAATTTAGGATTTCCAGTCATTCATTGTTGCATCTCTCTCCCTCCCCAACCCCTCCCCCAATTCACTTTTCTCCTTGATGAGTAAAAGAAAAACTCTTTAATTGTCTTTTGATTTCTTGATTGCTGATACCAAGGGTATTGATTGTAGATCCAAGAAAGTTAAAAATGGTGGCAACTTCAATATTTTTTCCATCTTCCATGATGTTGCTTATTGGCCCAATGGTGAGGATTTTTGTTTTCTTGATGTAATTCATATTGAAGGTTGCAGTTTTTGATCTCCTGCAGCAAATATTTCAAGTCCTCCTCACTTTCCACACGCATGATTGTGTCATCTACATAACACAAGTTGTTGATGAGTCTTCCTCTAGTTCCATATTCATCTTCATAAAGTTCAGCTTATCGAATGATTAGCTCAGCATACAGATTGAACAGGTATGGAGCACCCGTGTCTCTAATCTCAGTGTCTGTCTCCAGTATACACACACCACAAAATTTCTCCTTAATATAGATGCGATCATGTTCCTACATCAAGAGCCCCTTTAATGGCTGAGTCACTCCTTTAGAATAAAGTTCTCTGAGGCTGTCATCACTGGACACTGCCTGCTCTGCAGCCTCCCACTCTGACCCACCACCTCCTCTGCGCACATATCCTCTGTGTTGTAATTGTCAGGTACTGTCAGGTCACCTCCAACTCATCGCAGCCCTATGGTCAAGAGAACAAAACCACATCTAATTCTGTTCCATCTTCTCAGTTTTTTTCAGTCACTGTGTCATTCCATTTCATTGAGGGTCTTCCTCTCCTTTACTGACCCTCCACTTACTTATTCAAACATGATGTCCTTTTCCATGGACTGTGCCCCGCCACACCTGAAAACACACGCAAAGTACATGACACAAGGCTCACCTTCCCTGCCTCTAAGGAGCATCCTGCCAGCACTTCTACCAAAGCAGATTTGGGTGGGGTTTTTGTGTTGTTGTTGTTTTGTTAAAAAAATGGGGGGGAAACACCTCAAAGATTTTGTTTGTTCTTTTGGCCATCCTTCGTATAATCAATATTCTTAGATAGTTTTAAGGTAAAACACTAGTTGCCATCAAGTTGATTCCAGCTCAGGGTAACCCTTTTCATGTCATTTAATTGGGTTTCAGTAACTGATTTTTGGAAGTAGATCAGCACACCTTTCTCTCACAGCATCTCTGCGTGGATCTAAACCTCCAGCCTTTCTGAGCCTGTTAGTTTGCACCATCTAGGGACTCCTAGCCAGAATTCATTACTGGAAACTCTGCAAGTGAGCAACATCCTTTCATACTTTGAAGCCCTTTCCTTATGCTGGTTCCTCCATGTACACTTATTCACTCACTTCAATCTTCCACTTCCACAAGGAAAGAGCAACATTTTTCCATGGCCCTATAAAACCTGGAGAATTTTCCCTATTAGTTGCTATAAGGTAGAGGCAGTGAGCAGAGGAACCCCAGGAGGATCTGAAAGTAGACATCCTGAAGAGAAAAGGAGCGCAGCAGAAGGTAGGGATCAACCAAAGGAAGAGACTACTTCAGGTTACATAAATAATCTACACTGTATTATTGTTCACACTTTATCATGCTAAGAAAAACTTTATATGCATTCCATGAGATCAAAGAGTCCAGTTACATTTAGCCTGACACACCATAAGTATCAAAGGTAGACATACATACTGCAGTAAAGGCATTGGAGAAAAAACAAGGCTTCAGGAATTGAAACAATATGAATTGGATACAATGGAAGCACTCCTCTATGCCAAGAAATCTGAAAGGCCAACCTCCTGAAAGGTATCTGGCTTCATTCCAAAGTGATCCAGTGGAATGTGGAAATTATTGAACACAGTATGATTAAAACCAGTGCCATTATCAATAGTAGTATCATTAAAATCACATATAAGTAAGATGCTGATGAATAGCATTAAAAAATAATTATATTGATAAGGAACCGCCAGAAATTCAAGCCATATTTAGAACAAGGGATACCATTGCTATATCAAATGCATCTTTTCTAAAAACAGAGCTGACCAGAATGTTTACCTGTGTATAACTGACTATACCAAGTCAGTAAACTGTATAGATTATAACAAATTATGGATTGCATTGCAAATAATGGGATTTTCAAAACCGTTGTGCCCATTAATGTACTAACTTGTACATAGACCAATAGGAAGTTGGTCGTTTGTTTAAAACAAGGGAATGCTACATGGTTTAAGACTTCTAAAAGTGTACATCAAGGATTGTATCATTCACCACATTTATTCAAACTATGTGCTGAAAAAATAACATGAGTAGCTGGACTATATGAAGAAGAATGCAGCTTCAGGATTAGAAGACTGCCAATAACCTGTGACAAGCAGATGACACAACCTTGGTTGCTGAAGAGAACTAGAAGCACCTACAGATGAAAATCAAAGTCCATTAAAAAAAAAACAAACTAAAGATGATGTTGTTGTTGTTGTTGTTGTTATGTGCTGTCCAGTCGTTTGCGACTCATAGTGACCCTGTGCACAACAGCCCTAAACCCAGCTCTATCCTGCGCCAACCGCACTGCCTCTGACACACCCATCCTGATTACACCAGTCACCGAATCAATCCATCTCATAGAGGGTCTTCCCCTCCTGCGCTGTCCCTCCACCCTCCCAAGCATGATGTCCCTCTCCAAGGACCCGTACCTCCTGGCAGCATGTCCAAAGTATGTCAGACGAAGCCCCAGAATCCTTGCCTCCAAGGAGTAGCTTGGTTTAATCCTCTCCAAGATGAATCTGTTTGTTTTCCTGGCAGTCCATGGTACATTCAGTACTCTTCTCCAGCACCACAGCTCAAAAGCATCCACTCTCCTTCTGTCCTCCCTAGTCATTGTCCAACTCTCTGATGCATAACAAACGATTGCAAAGACCATGGCCTGTATCAGGCGCACCTTAGTCTCCAGAGAGACACTGTTGCTCCTGAGTACTTTAGAGAGGTCCCTAACAGCAGACTTTCCCATCGCGATACGCTTTTTGATTTCCTGACTGCTGGTGCCAAGAGTGTTGACCGTGGAGCCGACCAAACTGAAGCTGTGAACAATCTCAATCTCTTCGCCATCCATCCTGACACTGCCAATTGGTCCAGTGGTGAGAATCTTTGTCTTCTTGACAATGAGCCTCAGTCCATACTGAAGGCTGCAGTCCTTGACCATTCACAGCAATTGCATGAGCTTTCAATATAGATAACATAAAGAAAAAAATTCCCGCAACTAAGCCAATAAGTAACATATTAAAGAGAGAAAATATTGTTTTTTAATGATTTGATTTTGCTTGGGTCCACAATAAATTCCCAAGGAAGGAGCAGTCTAAAAGCAAATGATTCATAGTAATACAGCATTGTGCTGTATTGTAGGATGCAGCAAATGTGCTGGAGAAGACATTCTAATAGTGTTCAAATACAAAGATGTCACCTTAAGCCCTAACTTGTGACCAGATTCAAGCCATAGTGTTTTCAGAAACTGTATATGCATGTGAAAGCTACCTGAATAACAAAGACTGAATAATCTATTATAATATCGGCCATGAATATTGAATATACTATTAACTGTCAAAAGAATGCGCAAACCTGTCTCGGAAGAAGTCCAGCAAGACTGTTTCTTGGAA